TTGTTTCACTGATCCCATGGGTATCTTAAGTATAAATATCCAGGCCATTCAATTTCTACGTTCACATTTGTGATTATGTCAACAGACTATTCGCATCTACTTTTTTTCAAATTCCATTTCTCCTCCAGCACCAGTTCTTTGTTGTTTTAATCACAACTTGTCCTCTTAAATATCTAAGTACAGAGCAGAGCCACTGGCTCCGAAGTTTAGAAAAGCAAAAAAACAAGAGATAGAAGAGATCAATTCCAACCTGGAAGGAAAAACTGCGATTTTAATTGGAGATTCAATAATGAAAAAAAATTAAAAGGTTTGCACCTATTAAGTACAATGATTACTTCCTTATTTCCACAGTGTTAAATGCTGCCATTTCTGGTGACACTGTGGAGGCAATACTGTACAGGGTGGAAAGTATGAACTTCCCCAAATCTGTTCCAAATATTTCTCTACTATGCAGAACAAACAATCTAGCAAGTACATCTCCTTCTGTTATATCTGCCACGATCATCAAAATATTAACTGTAATTTATCAAAAATGCCCAACTGCTATCATTCATGTGTTTCCCATTATACAACTGTTCGATCATGATGCAATGATAGATTCTGACCTATTTGTAACTCTGCTATAATTGAAGACGAATTTCATTTTCTCTTCCATAGTCCAAAATATTCAATCCCAAGGGAGAAATTCTACAATCAAATCCAACAAAATTTTGCCGACTTTAATCAGCTATCTTACACAGAATTAATAATTAAATTGATGAATTCACAGAATTTTTTCCTAAATTCACATTTGTTGAAATTTGTCTCATTATGTAATGATTTACGTACTAATTTGTTATCAAATCATGCTGATGACACTTGATTGACTGTAGTAATCATTGCATTGCATTATCATTGTTATAAACTGTAACTTTATGTTAAAGCTTTTGCAATACTGTAACTACATAATTATAGTCATGCAAATAATAAAGCTTATGTTGTTGTTGTTGTTGTAGTACAAGTTACTAACACATATTTATGTTCAAGTTTACGAATGGTTTCCAGAACGAGTTTTTTACCATGACTTTCCACCTTCCCTGGGAAATAGGAACATGTATCGGGACAATAACATCCATCTGACCAAAAAGGGAAACGACATTTTGGTCAGATGGATGCACTATAAACTGGGTGGTACTATTAAACATCAGCTAGTTCCTCCCTCCCATCCTTCTTCCTTTGGGTCGTTTTGGTCTGAAAACGGGCATACACTTTGCCTATTTTGATCTGGAACTGGGTATGGTTTTCTTGGGAATTACGGGAGCGTATGAACCTAGTCATCGTTTCAATTCCAATTGAATAAGAACAAAATAAAAATGTGCAAATTTAAAATACATTTGAAGAATTTTCTGTTTGCGCTCTAATGTAAGTAATGATGACATAATTTCTGCCTAAAGGCCAGGTTTATAAAGGAGTATGGTTTTTAGAGGCCAGGGGCCTGTTTCTCGAAAGTCCCTTTTATCAACGGGCCCAGTAAGCTGTTGCCATTAACATTAAAGATCGAGGTTTCAATAGTTTTGCTAGCCAGCACTGCATTGTTATCTTCAAGTTGTTGCACGTTGCTTCTACAAAAGTAAGTCTCATTAAACAAAGGCCATCCTATACATGGATGGAAACTAAAAATAAATGTGGTAGGAAGTCTGCCGTTCTCAAGATCTTGCAAGCGACAATTATGAATTCTTCTATGGACGAAGTAAATGAAAAAGAGATTGCATTTCTTCCAGGAAATTTTTACAATGTTCTTTTTTCGGAGAATTACTGTTTTGCAGTTCACAAAGGAGATGCGGAAAGTCTAAGTGATTTGATCCACAAATATCGTTCTGTGAATTCGACCACATTCATTTAAACATAAACAATACAGAGGGAGAATTGTTAATCAGTGATTACTTTTATGTCTGAGGTAAACCTTACATAACTGTAATAAATCGCCATTTTACGGTCAAAACTGAAAATCAGAACAATAGACCTCGGGCGGATTCAGAAATATTTATGGTTCTGTTGGTGTTGTAGCTTCGCAGCACACAGCGTAAAAAAATACATCAATACAACTTCAATGGGTACCCCGGATTTCAAGTGATGATCGAAGGATATTTTAAGGTTTGAAATTTTCGATTCTGGGATTTTTTTGGTGGCTTGTTTTAAGTAGGAGCTAAAAAGAATATTTTTGGAGTGGTGGGCGGTAGGTTTTAAAAAAAAATCTGACGATTCGTGGTAGTGCTACAGGACAAGGTAACTCGATGGCATCTCTCTTAGAATCCTCGGAGTTGAGAACTAACGTAGAGCCTAATCTCTCCAACACAGAGATTGTCCAGCTGACTTATTGTCTCTTCGATTTGATGCTGGATTAGAAGTTTTCCGAGTATAAATGTGGTTTTGATGAGGAGATCACGACAACTTTCCAGTTCAAGGAACTAAAAAGCAAGACAAAAGTGGCGAACAGTTTTCAGTTAAAAGGCAATAAAGTTCAGTTTGAGTTCAATTCTGGCCTTTCAGAACTTGTTAACGTGGCCTGTTCCGTGCTCTTGGAAGGTAATCTTGTTGCAGTAATAAATAAGTAGTTAGAAAAACCTAAAGGTGCAGTTGAACAAACGAAGCAAGGTCATTTTTTTGGTGATAAAAGTCCTACTGGTTGGATAGCTGTGGAAGAATATGACTGAAAAACTTGCTGATGACTCACAGGATGAAAAGAAGCTACGTTCTACTGAGTGGAGGGCCCTTTCCAAGCTTTGTGGCTGAAAAATGCAATCGAGGAGTACTGCTCAAGCTCGTTTCAGATCTTCACAAGAGAGGCCTCTTTCTGGTCCTTTTACCCTGCCATTCAGCCTTTTTGTTCAGAGCAATTCCGTTTTCAGTCCTTTTGTCAGCAGCCTTTCATCAGAGACATCTGCAGCCCACAGACAAGTGCTTTATTGCGGGAGGACATTGGGCAAACTCTCCATCCTGCCCCAGCTCTTACGGCAGTAGAGTCTCCACCTCCAGTACCATCAGCAACTAGTAGTGCGGTTAATCTTCTTGGAACAAATGAGTATCCCTATATTCTTTTAGATGTGCGCAGTGCTTCAGGCCTTGATGAAAAAGAGTTATGCAGACTATTTAGAGAGTTCTTCTTCAATCATTGTTAAGTGTATATCAGGAGTTAATTCTTCCTTTTGGAGGACTGCTTGCGAGGTTAAGGTAGACAGATGTCTTTTTTGTGCTCTGTAAGAAACATCGACCAGGAGGCCAAAATGCAACCATCACTTGAGCATGTCGAAGATACTCTACAGAAGGGAGATCTTCAAGTTCCTTGTGTCAATCACTGCCATCTCTGAAAAGAAATCAAGTGCTGAGTGACGGAGTGGAGGCTTACAACCAGTCATCTCTCACAAATAATGGATAAACTATCAGGTTTCGAGGACAGGATAGAAAACTTCTCTGGCAGAAATATCTTGTCTCAGCACAGAAATAAAAGATGAAATAATTAAGAGGCATGAAAACCGTGGAAAAGATGTTAGAGACTACTTGGAACGCTGCCAATGATTTGCAAGATGCTGAAAGCCACGGGGACTTCAAAAGAACTACTCAACAGACACTGGACACGCACCAGCAAGAAATAAATGCTCTGAAAAGCAAGGGAGAGAAGTCGATATTGGAAAGCCAACAAGCGTGAAATTCGAAGATAAGTCTGGTGAAAGAACAGGAAAAGATAGTTCTTGCGATCACAAAAGGTGGTTGACAGAAAAGCTTATATTTATCAATAAGGAGTTTTTCTACACAGGAAATATCCTAGCAGACTTTGAAGCAGCACTGGCTTCATAATAACTTCTTAAGACCTCCTCTAAACTAGCGTTAAAATATTTATTTTTATTGACATAATTGGCCTCCGCATTGCATACGCTTAGCAGCCTGAGAAAATTTATAATAGGTTTTTTCTCTTTGATAGCCTTTTCCTGGTAAATGCCTTTAAAAGGAAGTTTTTCAAGTTATATTTTTAGTCAGCATGTCAAATTTTATTTTTGTTTTGTGTTTTGTTAAGCTACATATTTACTTTTCGCATGTTCATGATGCAGAGCCTCATTTATGCCTTGTGTATCAATTCACTTCCTTACACCTTTTACCTGTCATAACGCTTTTGCTGATGAATTAGTGATTAGAAAAGTGAGGGAACTAACACTATTAAAAGGCATGACATTCTGATGGTTGAAAACTAAAAAATACGCAATATTCTTTTGTACTGGGAGAAATATGGTTATGAGGCATGGTGAGACTTATACACATACTTGGAGACCTATTATTGCAGGGTTGCCATGGTTGGGGGACAGAGTGAGACTTATTTGGGTACTGGTACTCTTATGGTTGTAGGGGTTGCCGTGGTTGGAAAGAGTAGAGAGACCTGTAGGTGAACTAGGAGACCTATGGCTGCAGGAGGCGCAGTGGTTGCAAGGACTAGAGAGACCTATGTTTGCAGGAGTATGGATACTCAATGTAAATTGGTAACAGTGGCTTTTCGCCAAGGTTGTATAAAGTTTAGTGTTGAAGAAATCTCAGACATCTCTGCATCAACCTGTAAAATGGAATTTAAGTTACCTCCACATTTTAGCAGCTCTGAGCAGTTTGATGCATCTTTAAATGCAGTTCTTAATAGGTCATCATTTAATACTGTGTACAGGCGTACTCAGTATCAGTCACCATCATGGTCTTTTTATTTATTCTCTTCCACTATTGACGTGAGGCTGCTCAAGTGTGAAAAGTGTCAGCACGTTTGGTGTTGTTGTTTTTACACTTGCGTTGTTAGCAAACAGAACTACGGAGCCTTATAAGGGACACATATCTTTTCTATTTTCGTGCCACTTTTAGTGCGATTTTCACTATCAGCATAATACAAATCGCAGGCGCAGCACTTGTGCATGTCTTATACACCAACCTCCTCTTCAAGGAGTTCTGGTTTTTTTTCCTCCCCTACAAGTTCGACAGTCGCTGTACCTATGAAGATTTGCTCAATATTCCTTTTAGCAGCTATTTGCACAACTTCAAGGGGAGTGCTTCCGCATTATTTGCCTGCAACCAGAGGTAACGCTCTTGCTCAAGACAAACTAATTGAAACCTACATTAACCTTGGATTTGCTGCTCAAGAAACTGTTTTGTTTCTTCCAAGTGTGCGTGGTTTATGTTTTATTCTGAAACATTTGAAAAGGATTCTAAGGAGGCTGGGGTGTAGAAGACGTCGCTTTCACAGCGACCTAGATGAAAAAGTACAGGTAGTGCAAGGGGAATTAAGGGGAAGCGGTAGTCTTCTTGGGTACAGAGCAATGCACCAGAGACTCGTGAATCATTACGGACTTGTTACTACGAGAGACCTTGTTCGGCATGTATTGAAGATCTTTGACCCTGAAGGAGTGGAACACCGTTCAGGGCATAGACTTCGAAGAAGGGTCTATAGACTGTTATGAAAAATTGAAACCTTTCAATAGAAGAATTTTATGGCTTGAGGTAGCATCTTCAAATAACGACCCCAAAATGGTAGCTCAGTATTACCTTGACTGTGTTAGGCAGTTAGGAGGTACTGCACGCATTATTCTGGGAGACAGGGGAACTGAGATGGTGAACGTGGCAGCTATTCAACGATTCTTTCGCAGGTCCTCTGAGGATGATTTTTCGGGAGAATAGAGTTCATTTACGGAAAATCAACTTCAAATCAAAGAATAGAAGCATGGTGGGGACGTTTGAGACAGGGATGTGCAGACTGGTGGATAGAGTATTTTAAGAATTTAAGAGATTCTGGTTTGTACAATGATAAGAACGTTATACATCGAGAATGCTTAAAATTCTGTCTCATGGATTTGATGCAAGAAGAGCTACACAGAGTTGTCCTGGAGTGGAATGTTCATAGAATTAGACCATCTGCTAATCTGGAATCCCCTTCTGAGAAGCCAGATATTCTTTACTTTCTTCCGGAACTGAAAGGTGCGCAAGATTATTCTACCCTGATCGACGTAGACAAAATTGAAATTGCAGACCAAATGTAAGCAAAAGGATGTTGTCCTGCCTTCAAGGATCTGGGAGAAATGATAATGGAAGGCGAGCGACTAGACACGCCCACTACCATCGACAAAGCTTGCCAACTATACTTTGTCCTTTTGGACCTTATTGATGACTTATAGTGATAACACACTTTGGCCCGAAAACTTCATGAGCTGTCAAGTAATGGAAAGAAGCCAAACTATCCATTTCTTTCAGTGTTGTTATGGCCTCCGTGTCTGATATATATCACAGAACGTTATCAACAGCGCATAGGCATTGGCCTATTGCGCAATTTACTTAAGAAAACTCGAAACTTAAGGGAGTTGCGTTAAGTCACTTTGTTCACTTGCGGAATATTCTTAGCCGCTGCACTTTGGTTGGTTAAAATTACTTTTACTGTCAATTACGGACGTCGACCGAATCAAAGTGACGAGGTCCTCTTAATTTTTTTTATTTGTAGTCAAATCGTATGGATTCAAGCCATTAGATGATATTCATGGTCAACCATAAACGTTTTAGGGTAACCTTGTCAGACATAAAACTTAAGAAAAAGAATTCAGTCTGTTTTTGACTAGCTACAATGTGTTGAATAAAAAAATGAATCTAAGACTAGAATTACTGGAAATAAGGAATGGCTCCTAGATTTAAAGATACATTGTTATGAGATTAAGTCGAATTTCCCATCAAATTTCTCATTAATGTCCCTGTGAAGAAACACCCTGACTTTAAATGCTACCAACCCAATCACAATTAGGGTAATGGCAAGTAATGCTGCTGACCACAAGCATAACATTACCCGAGTTTCTCCGTTCGCGCATATTCATGACATATTCAGTCTTTTCGTGAATTGCTGAGGCATCGGCGACTATTCCACCTCCCTGCAGCGCTACTCTGTGTTCCTGCCTATTTTGAGATCTCCTATCACCTCTGGAGTCGCCTCTCCTCTAGAGAACTTGGGCTTTGGAGGGAATGAGTTATTATATTAGAAAAAGTTGACAAAGCATTGGGCATTGTGGTTCGGCTCTCATCGCTCGTCTGAGCAATGTTTCCTCACAATTCGAGCCGATCGCCTAGATCATTCTCGTTTTTAGTGGTCAGGCCCCAGTTGTTCAAAGAGCGGGTAAGTCGCTATCCAGCTGACAAAATGCATTACAGCTGATACATTTCATCCGCTGGATAGTGACTTATCCACTGGATAGTTATCTGCTCTTTGAACGACCTGTGCATGAACGTGTCGAAAGGTTCACGAAAACAAAGACTGGAAAGCTCCAGGACAAGTACATCAAGATAGTCTATTTCAGAGACTTGACGTTTTGTTGACTTATAACTCTGTTACCCAGCCCCACATGAAAGAGTTTGCCAAGCTGACAACCAAAGAACACTTTGTGGTTACTCTTGTTAGACTAAAAAGGAACACAAGTCTTGAAATGCTGTGAGATATCTTCGGTATTACTACAGGGACTGGAAGCAGAATATTTATAACTTGGATTTTATTTCTTGAAAAGGTGTTGGGATTTCTTTTACCTTTCTCAACAAAGGAGGAATTGCGAGAGATATCAAAACACAAATGCTTCAAAAAGAATTGCTTTAAAAATCTGAGAGCAATAATAGATTGTACAGAATTCTATGTTGGAAAACCAGGTAAACCGTCCAGCCAAAGTTCTACCTACAGTCAATACAAGTCCTTAAATAAATTTAAGTTACTCATTTCATTGTCTCCTATTTTGCATTTTAATTTTGTCTCAAAATTGTATAGTGGAAGAATCAGTGACAAGGAGATTGTAAATGTCAGTGGTTCCCTTGAAAAACTGAACCCGGCGATGCTGTATTGGCTGATAAGGGTTTTAACATTCAAGATCTTTTAGCTTTACATGACACTGTGCTAATTGCACCCCCAATGATGCGCAAGACTAATGTATCTGCACGAGCATCAACTGCCACAAGACGAGTTGCAACCTCAAGGGTTCATATTGAGCGCATGATCAGGCGACTGAAATTCACAGTTTAACTTCCTCAGAGGGGTTATTTCTCTTACATGTAAACCATATGTTAGTTTTTCCATTACTGTCTGTGCAATACTGGTCAATTTACAACCATCAATAATAAAAGAAAATAATCTAGCACATAATCAAGTAAAATATATATTACTAGTTTTAAATATTTACATCCGTTCTTATATGGACTAAAAGTGGCACACTAAAAGTGGCACTAAAAGTATCACTAAAAGTCGCACTAAAAGTGGCACGAAAATAGAAAAGATGTGTGTCCCTTATAGGGCTCCATACAGAACTGTTAACATGACTGTGCGAGGCCTTAAAGTGCATGTTTATATGCTTGCGAATGCAAGGGAGAACTTGATATTAGATCATGAATCACTCAATTAGGGACTTATTCCGTGTACCCCTCTATTTTCTCGAGCAATACAATAATGTTGACTAATATTACCTTATTTGTACCGCTACCAAGGTAAAGTTGTATTATACTTTCATTCTGCCCCACTTTCAATACTGCTCTACGCTGTGGAATTTTTGTAGTGTTAGAAACTGTGAAAAACAACCAGGAACTGGTATAACTGTGTATGTACAGCTTTCTCAAGAAACCTGCTGAGTGTAGGCAGAATAGAGATAGGTCGGTAGTTTGATGCATTTGTCCGGTCCCCTAACTAAAAAAGGGCTGTAATTTTAGAACATTTCCACAATTTAGGAAATTTACCAGTTTTAATTGATAGGTTCAGTAACTTTGCAATCGTATGAGCAGAGTTTTTGAGCAATCTTGCACTAATTTTGTCCAAGCCGATCGCCTTGTTTGTCTTCAGAGCGAGGAGCCGCTGAGGCACAAACGATTCCTCTAGTTCAGCCAACTGGAACTGAGACTTCAGCAAATCTGTACTTGAATTACAACTCGGCCATGTAGTCGTTATTTTATCAGCCAGTCGCTTACCAATAGACGCAAAAAAGCTGTTCATTGCTGAAGCAATAGATTTAGGTGTAGTGTGCTGAATTCCATCAGAAATAATGCACTGGACACTTTCTGAAGTCGAGTTGCGATAACAAACTTCACTGACAGCATTCCGAACTTTTTTCGCATTCCCTTTGGCATCCTGAAACAAGCCACAGTCATACTTCGTCTTCGCAGATTTAACTAAGCAATTGACCATGCTTCTCAGCTTTCTATAGGTGTTCCAGTGTTGAGAGGAGTTTGATTTCAGCACCTTTCAATGAATCCAGTCTCCTTCTTTCATTCTTTCGCTGATTTTATTATTCATCCAAGGAAGTGGTGTCCCTTTAACACATCGCCTTTTGACAGGTGCGTGAGAATCTGCAACCTCAGAAAACAATTAATTCCAGGTTAACAGGGGGTCATCTATATTGCTGTCGTTCTCAACGATGTGCCACGGAACATTCCAGTTAAATCTGTCCCAACTGTTTGCTCCTTTTCCTGAGACGAAATGTCGGTCTCATGAACGACATTGTAAACTGGCGGAAACATGTAATTTGCAGTGCACATTGGAGCAATGAAAGAAAATAAAAAAATCAGTTACCAGACGTGGTTTGTACTCATGAGTATGTTGAAAAACTGGGAGACTGGGGAGACTGGGGCGACCGTGTCCAAGTGAAGACGCGCATGTTTCACTCCTGTGCACGTTTTGTCGTTTCTTAAAATATTTAGTCCTTAAACCCAGTCTATAGGCGGATTCATACTAGCGAAGTAAGTAGACCTTAAGTATACTTGAATCTTACTTTAGATGTGAACGGGTCGAATTTCAACTCAAGTAGCCTACTTTGTGCCCATGGTAACGCGCTGACTTCAATGAAACCGAAGTACACTCTCAAGTCTAGTTTCAACTATCCTTACCAGCTAACTTACGCTTTATCTAGACACATTTCGCAAAGATACGTCAATCAAATATGTTAAAAGCAGGAGAATCACAACATAAGAGCACGCCAACACGCAAACGTTGTCTGTCGATTGCATTGCCTGTTAGCTTATTTAATCGCGAAATGAATCCGTTTAGATCCTCTTACCAAGCCATGGATGATGACTATTTAGACCAAGGTCTTATGTAAGTATAATTCACGTTTTTGTAAAATGTAAGAGTGAAATTTATTAAATTTGCACAGCAGGCCCAGAAGCTAACGCAATTAACCTGCACTTGTGTCTTCTTCAACAGAAACAACTTGAACCTGCATTTTGCAAGCCGAGTAAATTCTCCTGAGCATTTACAACCGCCTATGGTTGGTAGACAGTTATGGCCCTTTCCTTCGACCAGCAACTCTTTTTATCGGCCGTCCGAGTTGACACGTATGCAGTTTCATGAACAGCAACTTGAAGATTCATCTCAGCTCAGAACGATCCACAACAACTCTGACGTGTCAAGAGCGCAGTCGCCCATCTCTGTAGCAAGCAATGTAAGCACTGCATCTTTACAGTCAGAGGAGGAAAGGCCAAAGGGTAAGACAAAGAAAGCTCGATCAAAGTCGGCTGATTGGACCGACAACGAGACTCAAGATCTTTTGGAAGCGTGGGGGCCCAGGTATAACCAGCTTGAAACCAGGGCTCGAAATTAGAAAAATTCTCAGGTCGCCTTTTGGCGACCAACTGGAGAAATATAGTCGCCAAATGCAAATTTTTAGTCGCCAGTTTGTAAAATGTAAATGACGCAGCTCATTGATATTTCGCGCCGTCGCAGAGCCGCGAAATTCCCAAAAACACGCAAAATACCGCGAAATTACATGTCTGTACAAGCTTAGCTTTTCTCAGCTAATGGGGCTATTTACTTGCCGTAAACTTGTAAATTTATCTTGAAACTTCGGCACTGAAACGTGCAAACAACGTCCCGAAACTTCGAAACTACCAGGCGTAGGTTATGTTGCGAAAAACTGGGCACTAGCCATAATGTTAAAGGCTTTGCCATTGGTTCAGTTCTGGAGCGTATTGTTGTTGAAAGAGCAAATGATGACCTCTGTTACAAAAACATTAAAAACGCTGGCCTGAAAGCGCAAAA